ATTATACCCTTATACATATATACAACTGGCAACGTCAGCTAACATGATATATGGATACTCGGAACAGTATATTATAATAAAATAAATTTACCGCCATAACATTGCAATCGCTATACGGTAGAATAGATATCTAAGTAGGTAGTTGATCTTGGTACAACTTACTGTGATGTGTAAAATAATATTGAAATACACAAACAACGATAAAGTACAAAAATATAAAAATATTCTACGTATAGTATATAGGTATTATTATAATAATTATTTTACAACAAACTCGGCTGCCTTTACTTTACTGGTTCTGAACTTAAAGACTGAAGTTCCTTCATAAATCGCTGTATTGTTGGTGAACTGGTCAAAACCGATAGTCTAAAAATTCCATGACGGGATATGCATATGAAATTGATTTATTGATCATTTTTTTGTCAGGATCTGTTTGAAATCGTGTTATTTGGAGAAAAAAAATTTTGTTTACTGAACATTTGTGGATAAATTATTGAGGTGATAATAATGACACAATTATTTATGTAAGACACTACATCATACACATTGCGAGTCTGCAAACAACGATGACCCTTGTTTTTACCAGAAGGTCGGGGAAACAATAAAAAAAACTTATAATAATTACGGCTCAACCGCAAAACTCGGTTACACCTTATGTACTCAACGTCTTCTGTAGGTAAACGTGTTCGTATTATATTAATTTATGCAATGCCTCTATAATGTAAATAATATACGTATAATATGTCTAGTATAATATTTATGTCGCAAAACGACACTAAGGATGGCTACCGGATTACAGGCTACTCAAAAAAAGCCTAAAAAACCGGTCGACTGGTGGTTATATTTTATGACCATTATTATTATTATTATTATTATTATTAATACATCAAATGACCTTTTATACGCCCGTCAGAGTGCTATAATAACACGAGAACGTGTGGACGTGACAATAAATTCATATATTATGTTATTTATTTATCGATCCGACTTCTCGCTACTATAATAATATATCCCACGCCAACTGGCACAATGACCCATAAATATTGTAAATACCTACCTATAATACATACACGTTTCGGTCTGTCCCTTGAAAGGATTTAGGGACGACGATTGCACGATATTGCAGGGGGCTGGTATAATAAGATATTTCTTCTTCAGCCTGCAGGACACGCCGAAACGACCTACGCATAATAATATGATGCCTCGTTCGTTTTACATAAAACTAGGTACATAAAATATAGAATGATAAAACATAATACCATAACCGTTTGTTAATAGAGTGTTTAGATGATGAAATAATATTATAAAACTACTATAAAACTGTACTATGTTAATAGATTATAAATATTAAAGTAGTACTTATAATATTTTGTATCCAACCAGCGGTAGTCAAAAGCGGGGGGATAAACCCCGGATCATGGTGGGCCTGGAGGGGGGACATAACCTTTTTTCAATGTTTGAGAGCTGATGAATACAAAGTATATTTTTAATAATAAAATAGTGCATGTTAAAAAGTCAGCCATATCCTCCCCCAAAAAACTCTCGAAAAAATAACCATGGTAAAAATAACCCCATATGAAATTTTGCAAAATAAAAAAATGGTTGGGTGTAATGAATTCACAGATAGAAAATGAAAAATATTTAATTGTTACAATAGTGTAAATTTCTATTTTATTTATTATTGGCTAATTTACAACAGTGAGATGGGTTTTTGAAGTAAATAGGTAATACTTAAAATTAAGTGGACGATACACCCACATGAGTTGTCTTCGTCTTATCAACGCCTAATATAACAAAATGTACGTTCTGAATAATCCTTCTAACTCTGTTATGTTTAATATTGGTATAGAGTGAATTGTTGTATTAATACATTATCGAATTTACGAAATTATATTATTATTTTAGAATATTAACCATTTAAAAATTAGCATAAGTCTCAAGAATAATCTAAACTCTAAGCATATATATATTATAGCCGCTTAGGTATATAGTATGTTCAGTTTCACTTATAATAAGTAATTATATAGTTTTTATCGTTTATAATTCGTCTGTGTTTTTTGTTTAATAGGTACATATAATGTGCTCTCAAGTTTCTGCGACCATTCCTCATTATTGTAGAATGTAGATACATTATACCAGTTAAGTAGTTTTTCACAGTCTCACCTATATATTGTTAGTTGATCGCCATTTAAAAAAAACCCTATTTGCCCGACGATAGACCATTATATTAGTATCCGGTGATAAAATTAAATTGTCTAAGTACCTATATCACCTCCGCTCGCCCACACTCAACTACATTCCAAACAAGATGCCAAGACGTATGCAAAAGCAACTGCAAGCAACCCGCACAATTCTAACACCGCGACCGATTCTATTTCAGTAATCATGTCTCATTACATTACGCAATTAAATTCCCTTATTACTCCACTAATTTCGCTCTTATCTAATCTCCTAAATTCAATTCTTTCTAAAAATATTTCATCTCCTTAGTTATTTCTTTGTCAATTCATATACATTTAATATTTAATTGGTTTATATCTGTATGCTTATCTACATTTTGTATTTGTTTCTCTCTCATTATTTTAATATGTTCACTTTAACTATTTAATTCGTAATTGTATCTTATCCGTAATTGTTGATTCTAATTGTACTACAAAGTTTCTAATAAAAAAAAAAAAAAAAGTACCTATATTATGTTACATTATACTTTAAGTATATCGTATAATATGGTAAATTACTCTGAATTCACATTTTTCTTTTGAACTGTGGACCAGGGTATTGATAAATTATTATTTGAATACAAAAATACCTCCATCCTTTTGCTAAAATAAAGAAATAGTCTATATTTTGTCTTATAATGCATTTTTAAAATACATTTTTACATTGCGTTGCTATTGTAAACTCTGTCCACCAATACAAGTGAACCCAATCCGGACTACTCGAATACCCCCCTAGTGTATGACCATCTTTTCTAGAGGATACTTATAAGACCGTGTTATCGCCATACACCTAAAAAGATAGGTATAAAGATCTTTATAGGACTATGTATTTAGCACTTATCAACTATTCGGCTCTTAGAGTAATAAAACTTGGGCCTTACTTAAAAATAATATTATCAATTAAAGCATAGGTACGTCAAGCCCTAGATAATAATCTAACCTTTAAATTTTATAATAGGTCAATTCAATCTAATATCAAAACTAACGACACATATTGAAACTGGTGAACGAAAATTTGGTTTACCGTCCGTGTGTAAGACGGATACAACACATACGGGTGCGATGTGCTTTTAACTTGGAGATTTATTTTTAAAAAATACAAGGACTTTATACATTTTTTATAACTCAGACTAAGTCAACGTTTTTGGAAAAATAAGCTTTTCAAAAACAACTATCAATTTGTTGAAAACACTTAAGCTTAACATTTCACAATTTGATTTATTTAATTATGTAGTTTTTTTCATATGTATCCATAGTTGGTATCATGTATTATTATTCGAATACAAAAATACCTATATCAAATAGTGTTAAAACTCTGATGTTAAATAAGGAAATGTTCATTTTCACCTTACAGACATACTGCATGAAAGACAAGAGGATTTGAGGACCAGGACTGTTCCTTGCTTCTTACAGTTTCACCGTCACTTCCGTTAATTCCTCCATGATCAGGTCACCATCTCCGGTTCCGACACACAGTAGGACACACGCATCTCGATCTGCAATTTGGCTTTCTAGTCCGTTTTGTCTGGCCGCTTCACCAACCACAGAACGAACACGGGTGTGCAGCATTTCCATTACATAATAATATGATTTCGGTGGTGGCTGATCTTCAAAATTCGTCCTGCTGACCCTGATCCCTTTTCTCATGTTTGCAGCTGCTGCTAGTGTCGCTGCATGCCATACTTTATTTTAATCGACATTAAGTTCATCCTCCAGCTCCACCAGCTGATCCGCTTCCGGTCGCAATACTGTAGTACTGTACCGTACCAAGTCGTCGTCGCAAAGGCCCAACGAGAACGTACCCCAGTCACCGCAGAGGTCCACGTCCCCCCCCACCATCTACCAAATAGCTGTTGAAGAAAATCGAAGCACTTTTACAGCCCCAAAAGGTGATGACAGACACAAAAAAACTCAAGCATTATTGTAAAATCAATATATTAATAAATTGAAATCAATACATTCATCGCTCCGTTCAGAATCTAAAAAGATCAATAAATGTTAACTCGGCTAAGATTTTTCGGTTAGAATTGTTTAGGACAGATATCTATTCTATTTTTACTTTTGAAAAATATTTAGCATTACAGCTCTGAGGAAGTGATTCTCATCATCCTCCAATTTTTTTTTTATTTCTATTAATTCCTTTTTTCTTGTTCATTTATAAAAATGGCTCATTAAAAACCGTTTTTTTAGTACATGTTTTTTCTGATTCCAAATTTTTATAATTTATACAATCCTTGTAATATATTATATTCGATATATGTTCGAATTTGGGATGAGTTGAATATTGAAAATATTTATGCATGGATGGAATTGAAAAAATGATTTAGGCTGAGATAACAATCAACATTTTAATTATCTGTGCAGGACCATGTTTACGACAAAAAAAAAGGTAATCACGACTCACAAGCCGAGTTTACATTTACCCGTGTATTGTGCCACACATAAGATACTTCCCAGAACAACCTTTTTTCTCAAATAAAAACCTCTGAAAATTATGTGTCTAGACGTAGAAATATAAAAGATACTTAGAAACTTGGCCATTCAATATAATGGTAGTAAAATATAATAATATAGCCGACAGCCGACGATACATCACGTCTCATTCCAAATACTCTGTTAAACCCTTGGCTATAATGCCCCTTTTTAGGCTGTTGCACATAATACAATGTTCCTTAATATAGTATGTATTATATTCTTAAAAACAAATGTCAAGAATATTCTGCAGTTTGATGATATTATACGAGAATATAGAGCATATTAAATAAAAACAACAGGAGTATGTACAGTTTTATATAAATATATTTTTATTTCAACATGACGTGATTATGGTGATAATTATAGCACTTCAAAATAAATTACATTTTTTTTTACCAAATAAATAAAAGGGTTTACAAATCGTTTAAACATCGTTAGGTGTGAAGTCTGTATATTCTTATTCAAGGCGTATCTGCAAACAGAAACCGTAATTTTATTATAGTAAACTCATATTAGTCATATTAGACATATATATTTTAATTTTTATACAAAACTAAAACTAATCCTGCAATAACGATTTGTTTTTTAGTATTATAATCATTTAGGGCAACAAACAAGTATTTAAAATTTAAAGTGTACAACCGCATATACACAATAGAAAAAAAATTACCACTTTATAAGTTTTCAAGTATAATGCAATTAATATAATAATATGTCCTAACTGTACATACAAAATAAATATAGAAACGTATATACTTATAACATTATAACTATATACTGCTGTAGTGAGTGGTGACTGTTCTGTATAATTGTTATAATTACTATAAAATGATTATGTGTGCGGATTACCTAATAACTTTTTTAATTATGATCAGAACATAAAATAAAGCGTTTTACAAATAAAATTGATTACAAAAATCATTGCACGTCGCTGGTTTAAGCAGTATAATGTATATACGTTACATATAGGTATCGAGATATAGTGTAAATAATTAAATAGTTTTTCAGTTTGTATATACTTACCGATTGGAAAGGAGTATGTCTGGGCTGTGTAAATCAACGACGCAAGAGGTACGGGTAAGCACCGAACCTGTAGTTGTAAGACAAAGGGAATGTGTATCCGTAGGGGTGGTAGTAGGAAGTGATGACTGGTGCCGGGTAGACGATGTGTTGCGCTGCGGCGGAACCGATGCAAGCCAGAGCGACGGCAACCAAGAAAAAGATCTAAATGCAAATTTAACATATTATTATATTATATTATGTCCATAAAATCTGTGCGATTAATTATAAATAATAAGTTTGAAAGTGTTTAGCAAACATTTAATATAAATGCACTCGATGATGCTTGATGTTATGATGTCGTCATAACGTATGAAGTACTAGATTGAACCATTGATTATAATAGCGTAAGAACTTATTTATAATCAGTGATCTAACTCTAGGTACAAAAACGTGTAAGCCGAACAATATAGTTTGTGTGAAATGTTTGGCATAATATGTAATATTATAAGGTATCGAATGTACCTATGTATAAATACCTGTAAGAAAGGATTCTTATAGGTATGTTAATATTACATATTCTTCATCAAAGCCTACAATCCTTGTCAAATATATTATAATATATTTACTGTTACATAACCTGAGCTTCAAAAACGCGTATTTCGCACTGACAATATGTTTTGTACATAGGTACACATAAAAGTTAGAATTCGTGTTCACATTATGTATTATAATATACTTACGACGAGCTTTCCGGACATGTTGACGTTTGGCTGTTGTGGTGTTTTTTTTCGGATCGTCGAGTACTGCAGACCGTTTTGTGCGATCGAGTGTGTTGGTGATTGCGTTGTGCCGGATCAATCGGACTTGGGCCCGTATTTATACCCACCTATACCGCGGTTTGTTTTGCAGGGGACGCGTTGCGAATAAAGATGATCACCTCGGCGCCGGAACTACGCATTTTAAAAGATAAACGACAAACCGGACCTCGCAGACAGCGAATTACATTATTTCGATGATTTTTCATCAAACGTGTATTCTCACGGTAATGTTACTAATGTACCTATATATATATATTTTATAATATCTAGGTATACCAGGGATACGCTATTATAATAAGTACTTACAACTTTAAAACTTTGTGAAATCATAATAGTCTATTTTAAGTTACTGGTCGCATTGAAAAATCATTGTTATCATATTGTACGTTATTTAGTAAGTGACTTAGTGCGTACTTACGCGTTATTTAAAATTTAATCTAGTTGGTTATTTGGTACTTTGGGATGTTAAATGCAAAAATTACTCAATAGTTTTCAAAAGCGTCTAGAAATATAAAAAAAAAAATTAAGAAAAAACTGAAATTTTTCACAAAACAGTTTTTAACATAATAATTCAAAAACAAATAACCGTAGACACTTTAAAGTTTAAACGCTCAAAAAAATGTATATGTATGACAATTTTCTATAGATCATAGTTATTTTCAAAACATTTTGACTCTTTTTAAGCTGTTTATAGACATTTTCAACTTTCAATTTTTTTTTTTTTTTTTTTTTTGAGGGGTCTTGAATCTTTTTTATATTTTATTATATTATATTCTGCTAGGGACAAACAATGACATTTTCAAAATATTTAGATTAATTTTAAGCTTTTGAGCCTATATTTTATACCACAAATATATCTATTCATATAGTCCTNTTTTTTTTTTTTTTTTTATTTGAGGGGTCTTGAATCTTTTTTATATTTTATTATATTATATTCTACTAGGGACAAACAATGACATTTTCAAAATATTTAGATTAATTTTAAGCTTTTGAGCCTATATTTTATACCACAAATATATCTATTCATATAGTCCTTAATATATCAATAGGTACGAAAAGTTATTAGTTACCGACCCATTACTTAAAAGTTGCTAACAATAAATTATGATATAAATATAATATGTTTTTATATAATTAATAATATAAACAGTATTCCATTTTAAATAGTTAAATTAATATATTTAACTTAACATGCATACATTGTGTAGTATTTGTGTATAAGCAATCTTACCTAGTAACATTAAAATAATAAGTCCATTATAATTTCAGACTTGTGCATATCATAATTATCACAGTTGTTGGCAAATAATAACATACATTTTCAATTAATTACCTATATATTATTATAGCGGTTAAAGTTGAAACATTAATAGTTGATTTAACTAAATGATATTGTTTGAAAAATTATCAACTACGTCAGAATATTGTAGTCAAATTAACTATTAATCTTTAAACTTTAACCGTTTGGTACTTGCAACTAAATGTTGGGCTATACCATAATATTTTACAACTAGGTAGTAGGTACACATACAATTTTAGAGAAGCCAACTAATTATTTTTTTCCGTGATACGATGTTATACTTGTTCATTATTACGGTAGTTGTAGAAATCAATGTTTAATAATTTGATGTTGTATTTATTTGTATGATAAATAATAATAATAATTCCGTTGTTTAAGAATACTTTCGGGTCTTAGAAATGAATTTAAATACTTGTTTGACTTATATTATATGAACACAATAACTACTATCTTCGGAACAATAAGTTCCCATACCGATGTTAAGCATTTAGTGGAAAAACCAAGGTGAGCAAATGAGCAATAAATTATTGTTGAGTTCTGATTTATAGTTTCCAGTTGGTTTCTTTTACTTTTTTACATGTCTTGAGTTGGTCCAATTTTAATAAAAACAAATATTTGGTAATTATATAAGTTAAAATTAAGTTTATAGATATGCTTCTTTTCATTTTTTCTAACTCTGTTTTGTAGGTTATCAGTGATAACTTATCACATATAACAAGAAATGTATTAATTTTCAGGGCTTGTTGATCATTAAATATAATGTCTGGTGTATTTATTACATTTTTTCGATTTATCTGTACATAATTTGGCACTCTGTCTCCAAAAGAACGTTGAGCAAATACACAAATATTCACAGATAAATTACATTAGTTTATAAATGTAACTTACCCGCATATGAAAATTCACTGTATATTATTATGATTGTTTACTATAATAATTATTCAATTATTGTTTATGTTCATAGATGATATTCCGTGTTCTTGGACATTTATTGCAATTGGCAGAAAATGTTATCCACTCCAACTTGTCCAGAGTAGAAATAGCCATATTTTTACAAGAACTCTAAAATGTATAATATTATTCTATGATAAAACGTGTATAGAATAATATTATATATATTGTATACAGTTCATTTGAAATGGCTATTTCCACCCCCAGAGCTTGGACATTAAAGTTAACAATAAAGGATTCAATCAAAATTGGATTTCACCACAGTTATTAAACCAAATGAAACCTGGTGTAGACAATTAATTGAAACTCAAATCAGTTCAATAACGCCACTATTAATAATTTTTCAAGTGAACTGCGAAATCAACAAAATTAAATTCACCGGACAATGAAATATTTTTTAGTTATTATTATTATTTTTATTATATTTTTTATTATGTATTGTTATTAATTATGTTTGTAGTATTACCATAATATCATATCAATTAGTCATTGTATAAAATGAACACAGAGTGTATATTAATATTTTAAGATCCCATTTAATGTAAACTCAGATATTATATTATATGATTTTTATATAATTACTTTACTACTTTACCAAAGTAAATATAACTACCAAACAGTCAATGGCTTAGATCCCGTGATTATCTTAATGTTTTATGTACAAGTTCAGACAGCATATGTTTGTGACTTATGCGGACTCTTCAACTGCTGAACCGATCTTAATGATATTATATTTTATAACTACTTAGTAATCGTTATACAAATGTGAGTAACATATTATGATACTTTTTATCCAGGAATTCAACTCTTAAATGTTAGCTCACGAAAATATTTATTTGTTCATGCATAGGGCATGGGTATGCATCATATGGGCTAGGTTGCCATTGGTTACAGAGAACAAAATAGTTATTATGATAGAAATCTTGCGTTGGCGATTTGATTTCCATACCATAGAAATTGTATAATAAAAGTAAATAAATAGCCAATACTCATTAGACATATGGATATGATTCGGCTTGAAATAATAAATTAAACATAAATTAATTATCTTTAATTGTTATTAATTCTTAAACTGGGTTGTATTATTTAATTACTTATTGTGATAGTTAAACCAATTTAATATTATTATGAACATATTATATTATTATATTATTATTATTATTATTTAATTATTTATTTAATTTGTTTTTTTTCATAACCGATTCTGATAACGATAACAAATGACTTGACATCTATCACAAATTTAACAAAAATTAAGAAATCAAAAAAATCAGTAGAACTCGCTCTATTTTAAGTGACTATCTTGCTATTGAGTAGGTAGATGTGATGGACATTGTATTAAACTTAAATTCTACAATGATAAATCATTGTAAACAAAAAACGATTATATTATTATGTACTTAAGTTGATTTTTCATTTTATATTTATATTAGGCTATTTCTCCTAGTACTCTTAATATCCTCTTATCATACCTCATTCAGTGTCTAGTTGTGAGTATACCAATTACATTATTTTTCAAATGTTCAATATTGTTTTCAAGTTTTTAGTTTTTTACAAAAACACATGGCATACGTGAGATACATGAAACAAAGCTTCAGTCTGAAAAATAGTGATGTGCATAAACAAATAATTAAAAAATATTTATACTCAAAAGGTAATAGTGAATTAGTTTGCAATACTCTAGTACTCCCCCGAACCTCTGTAAGTTAATTCTCTTTGGTCTGAGCTGTTTATACCAATAAACAAATCGACTAGACTTTTGTTTTATAGCATAGGTAACCAGCTATTGGCAACAATATGCGATACCACGAGGGGCACACCTATACTTCAATATTGGGCAATAGGAACACACGTATATATTACGTACATTGCCATATAATAGAACATGCTAGACAACGCAATTTCTGTGTGCCGATTCAACCAAGTCGACCTATAGTCCGTATTATACGAGTAATAAAAACAACACCCTTGGTCTATCGCGCAACCATATAGCATAGTTGTATGATAATAATGGCGATAATGCATATTATTACATTGATATAGGTAATATTGTTATGCCGGCGACAACGACGACGTAGCTGGTGCCGCGACGATTTCGGAGTGGCAAAAATCCTGCACTGGTCGTCCTTGCAGTGAGTTTCGATTCCGTTTGGACTTGGAAGGCCCGTAACAATTATTATTGCACGATGACATTTCGAAGTCAGCGGTGGAACTATAAATTGTAAAATATTATAAAACTGCGATGCATGCAATATACACTTATGTGAGTACCTATATAATATGTATTATGTGTATTACAGACGCGACACGATCGCGTCCTCGGGTGACTGCAACTAGACTTATATACCAGCTAAATGTAGGCGCCGAGGACGAGTCCCATAATACATTTTGACTACAATTTAATTTATACTATATTATATTCGTGTAAGTATACCTGCTGTAATATATTATTGTACAATTCAATACCGTTTTTGTCACTTAACTCGAACGTTTTCTTCGTGCGCCTATGCGTAGGTACGTCGCATAATATTATGATTGTATAGGTAGTGAAATTTATTATACTGCTCTGCGTACACACACGTATGTCATAATAATATACCCATTATATACATATATCGTAAAGTAAGCATTATAATTTACCTACCTGTTTGAAGATTTACCGTACACAGCTGTAAACATTCAATGGAGTTGGTGTGATAAAGTACCTCGCGGCTTTGAGATTGTTCGGTTTTTTGTGTCAGAATATTTTTATACCATATACGAGGGTATGTGATGGGTGGCCGTGTTGCAGAGAGGACAGATCGATAGAAACGATCAATGAAATATGTGCTGTAATCGGTGGTGCAATGTAGTCAATTATATAATACTACGTTAAATGTGAAAATTGTTTTTTTTATATTATTCACTATTATTACATTCGAAAATATATTTTTCTTCTCTATTGCGTTTTTACAAAGTAAACCGAGAATAAATTTACGATTCGAGTGACATTGAGTGCTTGTATAGATAATTTATGTAAAAAGTTAGTTTCAAATATGTTTATAGTCTTATCGACAAAAATAAAAATCTAAATACGGACAAGAAAAATCAAATATAAAAATAACAGACAATGAAAACGTAAACACTAAACCAGGAATTGAAGCTGAGAAGTCAATATACATATTATCATTTTTTTTTTCAACGTATTCAAATTATAGTTGTATACTTGTACCTATAATGTAGTCGAAACATAAATTCGTTTCATGGTCTCACTAATGTAAACATACAATTTGTAGGTAAGCACATTTTTGCTGTGTGTTTACGATTTTTCTTGTTTAAGTGCATGATATATTATATTGTAATTTCGAACAAATATTTTTGTAATTTTATGTGCGATTATTAATTTTGTTAATACATCAATTTGATGTCATCAAAATAAACACAGTTTTACTATTTTTTATTCTTTCGAACAGTCGAATAAAATATATTGTAATTATTAAAAATACTTAAATTTCTATTTTTTGTATTATCAATTGTCATTCAACATTATCATGACATTTTTAGACGAAATCTATTTTTAAATTGTTGTTCTATTACCTTAATTAAATCGACGTAATCTTATACTTGTTTTTTATAGAGTTATCACTACTAAATATATTTTAAATATTACAATAAAGTACGTAATCTGTAATTACCTTTTGGCCAATTGGCCATATGAATTTGTGAAATAAATAATAATTAGGTATCTAATATCTATATGCTATTATAAATATTTTTATATGCCAGTGCCAGTGCGTAATTACAAATGTTTTATGGGAGAGGATAATATGAATAACAACAACCGGCCCTTGAGGGGCTCTGCCCCATACTCCTTTTGGCCTTACCACTAATCTATTTTTAAACATAATGCATTTAAAAAATGTGATATTAACTATTTTCTTTAATACATTTTTCATAAAGACTAACAAATTTTATAACAGAATGTTCGGTTTCTGTGCAGTTTTTACGCCTATATGTCAAGTATTTCATCATTTTCTACTTCAACGTTATTATGATTTATGAATGGCAAACATTGATAGACCATTTAGACGTTCCGACAAACAACATATTGGAACGGCTTTTATATGTTCGTCTAAATGGTAAATACTACCGACATCCTTTCCTATTTGAGGTAAGTGTCCTGCAGAAATATCCACAACACACATATTATTTTCAGGATAGTCGCCACTGCAGATGTCTATGGACTATGCCATCATATGTTAAAATATTGTTACGATGATTAATACGAGTAAGTATACATAATATATTGATATTCTTCATTGTAAAAAAATGCATAAAAAGAATAAAAATTAATTCCTATACATATTGGTACCAAAGTACAAAGTTACAAAAAAAGGTACAAAGGTATTTTTAACTTTACCTGACTTATTAGGAGAGAGTCCAATTAAAGAAGAAGGCTTAAGAATAATACTGTACAGGCACACCCTGAAATTGAATTCTGTGAACCCACGGGTAGGTACCTACCTAAATAATGTAAGCATTAAAGCTTAAGCCGTTGATCATAGTGTTTTTGCCCAACGCTGATATTTATTATTTACCCTTATAAAATCAGAAATCTGCACCATAGATATAGAGTGATCAAATATATTTAGAAGGGAGGGCTGGAGCCTCATTGCACATACATCTTTAATGTTCCGGTTTTTGGGGTTCTACTATCTACGGTTTATGGTTATTCGTTTTTGGGTTATACCAAAAAAACAATATTGATTTTGACGAAAACTGGTTGTGTGGTTGTATGGTTTTGTGCAAAAATCTTTCCGTTTTCCTTTTATTTTGTGTTTTTAACAACGAAAAAAATCGAAGAATATTTTTTCTACTACTAGTGTAAACGGATACAACGGATACAAAAAAAACTCGCATCGTTGTAAAATCAATACATTAATATCGCTCAGTAAATTCTTTTCATACAGACAAAAATAGAGCACCGTAAAATAACTCGGGAGTATTGAGGCCCTAGGGAGTATACAATATAGTATTATCATTTTATTTTTAGAATGTATTATTTTACTGAAAGTCGAAACAAATATCATATACTTAACTGAATAGACTACTAGAATTGCATCTACAACATTGCGTAAATGTTTAAATGTGTCATTTAATCGTGCTTCTCAAATAGATAGTTATTTTGATGGTTTTTCCAGTTTCTCTGTATTATAATAATTGTGCGATTGGAAATAGTATGATGTGCCTCTCAATCAACAGACGATTTGTGGTTTTCTCGATGACTATTTTCATTTCACTTGGTGAACTACAGGCAATAATGTCACAGTCGTTTCGACTTGAAAAATGAAAAAACCTGTTTGGTGAGCATAATTTAAAATAATATTATTCATTATGTTTTATGGTTTCGAAAACGATAGATAACGTCTTTACTATTTAGGATCAAAAAAAAAAAACATAGAAGGTATAATGCAATATTATAAAAACAATTTTAAACAATGTTTTTCTAGGATAAATATTATAGGTCATGGGTATTAAGTAGGTATAGGTAACTTACTCTTTAAATATGAATTTAATATCTTTCAAGATCTATAGTAATATATATTAATGTGAGTACCTATATGACGAATACTTGTAAGTTACATATCAACTGAAATATTAAAAATATTCGTCGCAACAGTCACTCTAATGCTTATAAAAATTTAAGATACTCAATCAATATTTTAATATTTTAATATTTATTTTTATTTTTTGTATATTTATAAAAACCATAGTTAAGTGAAATTTGACGTAAATTACAAAAAATCGTCTTATTTTCATCGCAATTCCTGAATTTTAATTCACATCTCGTGTAAAGGTAGCTTCTATCGTATAAGACCCATAAATGCAAGTAGGGGTGCTTGAGGGTGCTGGCGACTGTTATAAAACACCAAAAATAGTGTGAGAAAAGAATTGTTTTTTATTTTATACAAGATTTTTCTTTTTACGTTTTTATCTAAAAAAAAAATAATTTAAAAAGATTCTTTTCTAACAAAACTTTGTTATTAATGGTTTTGAAATGTATGTTAGGGTGGAATGGCATTTAGTTCTAATTGTGCCTATGACAAGACCCAAGGGACTAGATGTCAATGCGTGCCGTATAGTAACCGCATACGGTGGAGATGAAATCTCTACTTCGCGACAATATTGCTATTAAGTATTAACTAATAATAAGTATTAACTAGGACTCAGAAGTTATAGAAGGTTAAACCAATAAATAATACACACGGGAATCTAAAATATGGAAACAAAATATGTATTATGACGAAAAACTAAATTATTCGAAATTTGATAAAAATAAAACTGTTTGTTACGTAGGTAACTACTAGTACACTAGTATATTAAATATTTTTTTTTGGTTTATTGAAAATATTAAATCAATATATAAATTCAATATTAATGAATTGCAATAAAAAACTCGATAAACAAAAATAATAATAGCGATAATCATCGTAATGTATACTAGGTCATAAAATAATCATGAAAATATCATTAAGTTGTTATAGTGGAAAAAATTTGCTTTTTGCTACTTTGCATAAATCTTTAAAAAAATAAAAACCTTGTGTTACAATTGAGAATAAAATACATGAGGTAAACATTTTTTAGAAAACATAAAATACTTATATGCAAACAAATTTGATTATGCACTTTTCCCCTAAAATTTACTGAATTCAAAAAACATGTATTTTATATAATTATTGTTTTTAATATCGGCATTGTGTAGAATGAGTTTCTGGCTTGGCCTAAAATAAATAAAAAATATCGAAAAATACGCAACTCCTATAACTTCCGAGCTAGACTAATAACTAACATACACGTTAATTTGGTGTAGTAAAGTTATAAAAGCAGGCTACAGGAGCTAGCAGCGTCACTGTTTTCTAGAATCTAGGGGGACATCAGAGTACTTACCAGACACCTGATAATTTATAAATTGTGAATTTCTGGTATACTTAATTTGTATTGTGTAGGTACATGTTGCCTATTAGTTGATATATCTATAATCTATATGTTTATGGTACCTACGTTGTAACTTGAAATTGGTAATATAAACTAATATTCATTATCCATGAAAGTATTAAGTATTCATTCAATAAAAAATAAGATATTTAAAGTCACAGCCGTTACAATAGAACAAAAGTCAAAACCATCGAAGAATTAACGTGGTTCTTATTATTATATTTTATTTGAGAGTTGAGAAAAACTAAATTTATAAATTATATAGGTAAGTACTTATATTCACATTTATTTTCCTAGTTGGTATTAATTGGCCATTCGGCGATTGTATCTGTACTTCTAGATCATTGTTTTAAAATTGGAAAAATTTCTCAGCAGCTGGTAAAAAAATCTGTTGGGTAATAGGTGCATGGCTACTTGTAGAATTTTAACTTGGTTGCAGTTTGTTACTATGGTATTAAATACAATTTAATATTATAATACAATAATATTCAAGACGTCTAGAGTTTTAAATAAAAATTATAATTTCAAAATTCGAAAATTAACTAATACATTTTTTTAAATATGTCAGTTACAGAAGATCAAAAGTTAAATATTATTTCTCAAGATCTTCTGGTGTACATATCACATCTCGAGGAATGTTTTAACCACATGGAGGAATCAGAGGAGAAAATAATTGTGCAGGTAGGTCAAATTTATATTTTCAGTAATAACAATTTCAAAAAAAGATAGCGATATAAGTCAAATAATTTAGGTAGGAGTGAGGTAAATATAAAATAACAAATTACTTAACGTGGCCCGAGTATAGATACTCATTTAAAATTATCTGTTAAAAACAATTTAATGTTTAATGTAATATATTATTAATATGACGTATTATAATTAAACGGACCAACATTAGTTTACAAATTATATTGACCTTCGCGTAGGAATGGTTAAATATGATCCTCGAACATTTAAACAATGGTTTGGACGAGGCTCGTATCCGGAACATGGCACTGAGTCAAATGCTGATGGACATTGAATGCAACAAACTGCGGACTCCATTCAACGAGAGGCCGTCCTGTCGTGCTTACAAGGAACTTGTCGACTGGTTGAAGTCAGTGTTAAATCAACACTCGTCTTTGGTGAAAGGAGATGTTGAAGTATGATAATAATATTATAGAGTATTATATTATAGTAGCGTATTTATGGCATTCTGCAATCATATGGGTGGATTTAAACTTGACGGGATCTAGATATCATAATATTTTACATGGTCTTAATTTTTAAACAAGAAAGATAATAATTTTTTATACTTAAATAATATATGCGTGTGTTATACAGCACACTATACTTTAATACCAATATAGTTATTATAAAGGCCACTGGTTACATCAATAAATTATTTTTATATGAATTAAAAGTAAAATATATAGGAATGGTACAAATGTACAATACACCAAAAATATATCTACTATAGTTGTATATGTACACTAAAAATATCATTAAGAAATCGTGTCTTTATTATAGTTGGATGAAGAGCCTGTGCCCGAGAACCGTGACATGGAAGTTACCGAATTCGAAAATTTGATTTCTTCTGACAATCGAACCTACGTAGCTATCCGAACTTTACCGAACAGCGGTGGTGTGTTTGGCTACATAGCTATTACAATGGGCGATGGGATTGATCCACAATGGCTAGACTGCAATGGCGATCCGATATGTACACCGGAGCCATTTAATTTGCACGTGGAACAAGTTAAGTCAGATGTCCCATTAGAATGTCTGGCGTATGATGAGACGGACGCCAAACAGGTGTGGGCCGTTTTGAAAAACAGGAGATCAATATGTCTAAGAAACGAATTTTATGATTTTTACAAAACGCTCTACGAAACCGTCCAACAAGAAATGGTGGCTGAAGCGAGCACATGTGTACCCCGAAAATGTTCACATCCGTTCATCAATAAGTTACTTGAATTCCTAGTGGTAATTAGTAACGATAATAATTTAAAATATGATAGTAAAACCGACAACCGTTTAATGTTTCTAATTGATTAGGTCGACTTGAAAGCTATTGGTGTTTCTGATCTCCAAATATTTAACAGAATCAAGATGCTTTCCATATTGAAAAAGCAAATCAAATCCGTAATATGTGAAGTAAGAATATACATTCGTGTCTTTAGTACCTAAATATAAATTATATATTATGTAAAGATTTAATTTAAAAAATATTTTTCAACAAAACAAAGTGAACTCGGGTAGACAAATTGGTTAATTTTGTATGGAAATCGCTGCTTTTTAAGAATAGGAAAATTGGACATTTTAATGAAATGTTAAAAATTTGATACAATATAATGTACAAAATTAAATTTTAAAAATAGTTAATTAATAAGCAGTTTCACATAATGATTGATTGTCATTTCACACGTGCTTGCGAAATAATGGAGAAAAATAGTTTCATGTGGAAAATAAATTTAAAATATACCTTCCTCTCAATCTGTTACTGACGTTACCGCCACAATAATTTCGTTCTTTTTAATTCTGGGTTGCTTATATGATTACCTATGCATGTACACTTAATTTTCGAGATTAATTGTAAATTACAAAATTTCCATAAAAAAAAAAAAAAACGCTAACGGTAACTTACTTATAAGACACTACATTGTTATACCATGTTAAGCATAATATTATGATAAATAATAATCAAATTATGCATTACTATTTAAAACTTTAAAACTGTTTCATTGAATATAATATTATCTTCGGTGTCATAATAAGGCAATATAAGTTAATTAATTATAATGATCCATTATATTTCCCCTGGTCATTGATCAATAGTTTATTATTAATTTGATTTTTTTTTAGTTAAAAATTAATTTAGTCTGATTTAAAATCAAATAAGGATAAGTACACATTTCCAAAATTGTGTTTTAGATAGAGAAACGGACTGACAACCTGGAAACAGCGATGAAGTATTCAACAATTTCACCAATGGATCCATTGCCAACGAAATGTTGTTATGACTTTATATCTTCCGCTCTTTGGAATGAGTTACACCAACAACGACCTGGCACTAAATATATAAATATACTGTCATATCAATATCCTCAATATTTTTTACCGAAGTAAGTACCTGTATAAAACATACGGGAGTAATTTTGTATGCATGCACTTCTATTTTTTAATCATTACATTAATTTCACATTACTGTTTTTTGTTTCCTTATTATGTAAAATTTTGTTTGAAAAAATTTTAATTATTTTTAGGTCTATAGTTTTTTAAAGATAGTTAATAGCACAATATAAAAATCTTGAGCACACGATTATAATTTTGTAATAACTAATAAGACATGCATATTGTATCAAATATAATTTGATTTTTGACAGTTGTACCGAACAAACTATAGGTACCTAAGTACTTAATATAGCAATGATATTTCATTAACATATCTGAATTTCTTACGAAGTTGATGAATTAACATATGTCCAAACTTACTTAAATTAAAAAGTTTAATAACTGTTATATATTCTTTTAGATATTTTTCGGTTTTAATGAACCAAAAGAAAAAAGTATTGAGCAATATCTCTCGTAAATATTGCAAGATATTAGATGAAATGTTTGAAGATTTGGGAAATTCTATTATGTCAAACATGATGAAGTACAAAGAAGCACATTGGGAATGGCATGTAGCCCAAGAAGTTATCGATGCTTACAACAAAGAAAAGGCTTTTAAAGACAGTTTGTGTGCGGTTGAAAGTTCTGTTGATGAATCGACAGAATCATTCATAACTGTTATTTTAAACGAGATAAACATGTCACAGCAAAAATTAAAAGTAATTTATTTAAAAACCAATCGTATGTGCTGGTGGTAATTTCTATAAAAATTAATTTTGTTTTTATTAGTCAACAATAAAAAAGAATAATCAATTGGCAGACCAATTAGCCGAACTGAGAAATGAAATATTGGACAAGGAACGAAAATACAGACAAGTGCTGGTCCAAATCGAAGAACAAATGGATAGATTGAAAAAACAAATAAACATCGAAAAACGGGATATAATGACAAGAGAAAATACTATTGCAGAACTTCAAAGAAAACGCAAAGAACTATTAAAATAAACACACAGTTAATAGTTCTCTTTGAAGCTCCGCAATAACATTTACTATCCAGTCATTAAACGCGTTTTTCGATGTTGATTTGTCTTTTTCTATATACTTATAGTATATGTGATTCTATTCAGATTAATATAAATTGTAATATCTATCTAGGTCCTCATAGCATATATTTTAACAAAACAATTTTAAATTGTATTACATTGCTTACTACCCGCAAGATAAGTTAACATTTATTAAAATTATTACATAATACGTAATAAATATTATATAATGTTACGTAATAAATATAACAATTGTCAACTTATCTTCGAGGTAATAATATTTGGGTAGTAATGCAATACAATTTAAAATAATGTGTAGTTAAAATACATGCTATAAGCATTGCCCAGACCTAGATAGATATTACAATTTTAATTATATTAATCTGAATAGAATAACATATACTAAACAATACAAACACAATAATTATACATACATTAAATTTGCAAGCTGTAAAGCATGATTAATAAAATAATATTTTTCTGTTCTTAAGGCCTGGCCCTTTTTGTAATAAAAATAAAAATAAAATATATAGGTATCTGGAAAATTTTTTATAGTTATTAAGTTATACTCTTGTATGCGTGGAGACTAAAAAAAAAAGTACAATATTATTGGGTAATGTATAATAAGCAATGAACATTTACAAGTTCAGTAATTCAGACTTTAAAAAAATCCCTGGGTAGATACGTCGTTACGTTTAGTAAATGTACAAAATTACTTATGGTAAACGACGGTAGACGCTGCCCACGCCCGGCTCTCTAAGGAAATGGAAATGTCGAAATGAGGACGAATCATTACGGTTAGTTGCCGGAATCGATGATTGGGCTGTTGGGCGAAATCCGGTACCAGGGACTCAGCTGGTTGCCCGCCACTGGGGATCGCCTCGAACCACAATCGTCCACGCCACCGAATCCCTAGTACCGGACTTCGGTTCAGCATGATTGACGAGCGGCGACGACGACGGCGCACTGGGAGGTTAGGTGCTGGATTTATGCGAGTCACTCGTTATTTCAGAAAACAATAACGGCAGGTATCGAAAATATTTCTTTTACACAATTACAAATCGTAAAAGACAATGTTTATGGGGAAAAATTTAATTTTTTTCTGTTTGAATAATTTTTTACTCTTTTGAATGACTCAATGACAACATAAATTTTTTCCGAAGCAGAATATTATTCACAGAGTTTCGATCAATAAAAATCTAATTTCGGACAAATAGAATATATTAGCTATAACTTACAACTTATCCATTAATATAGATACTTAAAATGTTGACAGTTATAATGAAAAAAGTAAATACTTAAAAAAATATATCGCTACAAATAGCGAACAATTAAGTTTTTTGAACAGCAGGGTATTATTTTTTATGTAAGAAAAATGTTGAAGACATTAATAGTTTTTGAAGTAATGAGTCATAAGTCTTTCATAGTTTCATTAAGTTTACTTGGTAAATAATATATTTATTATCCATGAGTGGGACACAGGCCTTTGCTTTCACATTTGTGAAATTTGAGACCCGCCAGAACTGGAAAGGACACTATAATATTCAAACTATTGTCTAAATTTTAGTAGCCAAAATTGGTATATTAAAATTGACCTCCGCCTAAAAAAATCATTTATTTTTTGTTTGTCTTGTGACGATTGAATTCCAAGAATACTAAGCCCGAATAGGTAATGGTACGTAGGTACAACACAATCAAGTCCATATATTAAATGGAATATTCTTTAATTCTATTAATATTTACTGTATGCTTTTCGGGCATTAAGTTTTTCTTTTAAATAACAATTTTATAGTAGGTATAATAGACAATACCTAGTTTTAAAATGATTCAAGACTCATAATATACCAGATACCTACAAAATAAACGGATAAATTATTTTTGAAAAAGATAGACTGGTTTAGTTGAAACTCGCCTAGAAAGTATTTACCCGTCACTTATATCTCTCGTATTTTCGATTTTCTAATCTAATAAATTATTATGTTATAACTTATAGGTAACTACATTATACCATGTACCACAGGGAAATAAAGTAGGAAATAGATAAAGTTGATTTTTTTACCATTTATTGATTTATGATATATAGATACATATGAAAAACACTTATTGGATATTTCAAAAATGTTTGGTAGAATTCTAATAATAAAATATTAATGATACAAGACTTAACAGCATTACCAGCCTCAGTTGTTCAGTTGTCATGCATCGTATTCAGTGAAAAATTTTGTTGAAAATACCGTAGAGTATATTATTTAGAGTACTAAACAAAATAATATGAACTCTCGACTAATTTATAAAGAAGTGCACAACGATTCATCAGTAATAAATTTTTTGAAAAACTATAATTCATAAAACTGGGACTTCTAAATATTTCACACATTGTCTTAGATCTACATAGGACTATGAGTCAGTGGCGTTGTGATTTAAGATAATTTCGAGCAAACAAAGACCAATAATTTGCATACAATTTGTCATACTTTTATATAATAATACATAGGTTTTAAAATATTAAATAATAAGTATAAAATGTATTAACTACTTTGTAAAGTACAGTTAACATTTTATAATAAACTATTAGAACATCAAAAATACAAGTGATATTATAATATAACTATATTATAAGTCCGGGAGGAAATCTGGGTGGGTGTTAACTAAACTAGTACTTATCAAGACCTGGCCTTATTAACCAAAGATAACAGATTTGGGTGGTAATTCAACGGATAACAAATAAAAGTTAAGATGACCATGACTCAGGAGTATTCTATCATCAAACGGATCATCTCAAAGACACATGCATTTATTTTGTTTTTAAATATTTAAATTTTAAATTCATATAGAAAATATTTCTTTTAATACAATAAGAACATAAGAATGAAAAATATTTAAATAAAATAAATAACACACAGTAAACAATTGTTAAGAATATTATAAGTTTATTTTAAAGTAATATATCACAAATATAATTATTAAATTACGTTTAATAATATAACATGTTAAGATATAAAATTATTGTAATATTCATTTAATACTGTATAAATATTTGGAATAACTTTATAGTACAAATCACTCACTTTAAAAATTTAACATTCGAAAGATATAAAATATATTCACAATTATTACAATATTATTATTTTTATCTGAAAACAAAATTAATGTTTGTATGTATGAATTATTTGCGAGCAATATTTATAAGTCAATGGAATAATATAAATGGCAACAAATCTATTTGCTGTAATTCATTTTATAAGCTACAAACAGATGATCCGTTATTAATGTTATAGTTTGATGCTACTACTTTATATTTACTAATTCATGTATTTCTTAAAATCATATTAAGTAAAAATCAAAACTAAAAAATTAAAATTTATTTTTCTTTAAAGAGTTTAATTCGGTATATAAAATATGAAATCCAATATTTTACAATAACAACTGTTCACATAAAAATGCTAGACTAATATTACTTACGGTAATATGTTCTAATACAACATAAAAATAGCATTTAGGTTCTCAAAGAATTAAAATTTAACTAGTTATTTGGTAATTGCTTGTCGTTTAATATTTTTAAAACTAAAACTGGATGTCATCTAATAAATTATGTTTAGTGTATTATAGCGGAATAAAGTTACTAAAATTAATCAATCTTTTAAATGAGTTTCATCAAATTTATCTAGATTAATCTAACTAATTCTACAACAAAACCTTAATATTTATATTTGTTTTCCAAGACATGGATGTTCATGCATTTAAAAACATGTAGGTATGTAAAAAGTATGCATACTTTTTATAAATCTTGCAATTTAAAAAAACAACTTCTAGTATTTTCTTTATCATTATATGGATTAATATCATGCAGAAAAAAATTAAGGTTAACACATACATGCAAATTTGAACAGTTGCATTTGATATAATTAAGTTCTAAATATATTGAACAAATGCCAACAGACCAAGGTTATTACAAAAGAAAAGTTTATTGGTTTAATGAAGAGAGGACTTGTATGTAATACAAAATATTTTTAATTCCTTATAGGTTAATTAACTCATTTGTCATACATACAATGCATGACAAGTTTTTAATAGCTATACTGAAGTGTGCAAAGGCATGAACTCCCAAGCCTTATATATGATAACAATACAAAACACAAAACAAAATATTTTAACTTGCACTCCATTTGTCTTAAATATTATTTTAAAAATTAGGTGCCATACCCTTTAACAAAAATTAAAATAACAAAAAATAAAAGAAACTTAATTTATCCATACAAACTTACTATCTTTTTACAATAATAGTTGAACAATCTTTGTAAATTATTAAATTACTAAAGCAGTACTTTATATAAATTGATATATTTTAATAATTTTGTTTTGGTATAATAAATATTGAAAAAAAAAATTGAAACAAAATACATCTACTGACTGTTAAAGGTGTTGCTTGAGAAGATTGTATTAATCATTCTTTTTATCATCTTTAGGTTTCTCTTTTTCGATTACTTGTGGTTTTTCTTCAACGGCCTGTACCTTGTCTTCAATAGCTTGTTGCTGTTCTTCAACTGGCTCAGCAGCATATCCAAATTCATTCACTCTAGTTGGATCTACTCTATATATCCATCTTTGATACAAAAATATGAAAAATACAATATCTAAAACAAAAAAAAAAGTTATTTATTTAATGATTTTTATACCCTCAGGAAGGGAAGTGTGAATATTAATATAGTATTATACACACATAAATATGATAGGCAATACATAAAAACAAAAATTATTAAGTAAAGTTATTATTTAAGAGTTGACAACTGACATGCAATCCATTAAATTATATTTTTTGGAATAAATTTACCCTCAATATATCCAAATAATAGTTCATAGTTGTACATAAAGAAAACATTAATGTAATTACATTTAGATTTCAATGAAACTATATTATACATATGTTCAACATTAGTAATAAAATGAAATCCGAATTAATATTATATGCTTTAATTCAAAGAGAATGCAATTACACTTTTTCAATTGCATTTAGAAGTCTTAGCTGTTTAGTTTAAGTTTCCAAATACTTATATGGTAATGCAAATAAGAAGATCTGAATTCAAATGCAGATCAAACAAATGCATGTGAAGTATAACAATTTAAATTAAAATATCAAAAAACATATTATGTTCAGATAATAATTTTTGATTTCGGTAATGGATCAATTCACTGTAATATTAAAACAAACACAAAATTGGAACTTCTGAACGTATTTTACCTCTTAGATAGCTACTGGGAACTGGGAGTGGAAGAAAGACGAGTCCTTCACAGATATCCATCAGTACAAGAGATGATATTCAAATACAGAGTAGAATTGCAATAGAGATAGTACTAACTACTAAGTTAAATTGAGTATTAGTTTATAAATAAATAAAGGTAAACTACTTCTATAAAGTAACCAGTTCAATAAAAAAGGACATTGTACCACCGAGGACTCATTAATAAAATAATAAAATCTAACAACTCAGGTGCCAGTACAAGGATGACTGTTGTGGAGTTAGAGAAGATGTTAAAGTAATTTCAAGAATTTTACTTACCATCTCTAAAACATCCCAAACGGTACATTGTTGGCATTTTAATAACAAATGCAAATATATCATCAATGAATGTATTTAAACACTTATAAGACATCATTCTCCAAGGAAGGTGTGCCACAGACTTGAGTTTATAGTTAATGAACAATTGTGGAGTCATTGTAATAAACCCTGCAAAAATATTAATTATAATAAAAGATTATAATTGAGTGGAAAAATAATGTATATTAAACTAATTTTAAAAGGCTATATTTTACTTTATACTAAGTAAAACAAAAAAGCTTACCAAACATTAGAAGAAAACCATACAACATGTTGAGTACCCAAGAATACCATCCTTTATGTTCTTCATAGACTAGTGAATAAATTGCATATGCAGCAAGAAGAGGAAATAGTACCCATGATAAATATTTAAATGCAGCTCGATCATATTCCTTTGTACTAGATTCAGCGTAGGACCCTTTTTCTTTAAATATAAATTTTGGAATAATACCTAAATACCGTGTTTGCCGATCAATGCTTATGTCCAACACCTAAAATGTATAAAAATGCTATGTAGTAAACTGTCAATTTACATTCAAAAAATATTTATGTAATATAAGTAATTTATTCATTTTACCTTGTTGATTTTCCAACATTCAATACCCAACCCAACAAAACAACTGATGCGAATGATTGTGTTCGTATCATTATCAAGCACATACAATAGCACAATGACAGATTGAAACACATTAAAAAATACTGCACGTACAGATAAACCTTCCAACGACTTACGTTCCTTCCAAAATTGAATATCTATAAAATTGGTATAAATATAATAATTTTCAGTTTAACTTATTCAAAAATTATAATAAATATTAAGACAATATTTTCAAATTCCTGACATTTTTTGTACTACTTAACTCCCAAGTCAGGGGCAATACAAAGCTTCTATTTTCCAAATGAGGAATTTCATTCTAAATTAAATAGCTGGTGATTTATGTATTTAATAATATTTGATGTAGTATTCATTTTATTTAGATCATTGTTACAAATTATTTATACTCATAGATCAATAGTAATTACTAATATTTTCAATCATCTGAGCTCCCATATCTACTTATCCCAATACCAAAGGTATATTATCTTAAGAACACAAAGTTATACAACTCAAAAGCTACTCATTCTAATTTTGATTTAGATATGTTGAAATTCTTAAAAAAATATATATCTACTTCGGCCCAGTGCATGCCAACTGCATTTACCTGGCCCTCCAATTATACTGGTGGGCAGTTAATGAAAATTAATATTAAAAAATATATTATTTTTAAATAATATAAATAGTTATTAATTAGTAATTATAAAATTTGTTGAGTTTAGAACTCATTTTCAGCCATATTTTTTCTTTGTTTAATTAATTCATTAGTCGTGTGAACATCGAGTTAAGTCTTTCATTAACTATATTGCAAAATATAAGATCTACTATGGAACAATAAACTATAACCACTATGTCTAATAAATAATACATATTTGTAGTTTTAGATAAATTAATTACCGTTTTTGAAAGCTAACAACTCAAAAACACTGTGCAATATTGATACAATGATTGTAGCTGCTAAAATATATGGTGACGTTTCTAGCAAAGCTTCTTTTAATGAATCTTGATCTTGATCATCTTCATTAGCATCCGTTGCAAAAGTATCACCTAAAAATCCAGCAGTCCATTTGTTTCGCATAGTCTGAGCCGAATACATTTGCCATTTAAATAATGACAGTGGTTGGAATGTTAGTGTTAAATCCAAATTACTGCAACATTAATAAACACAAACTTAATTTTACAATAAATTAAAAACTATTGTTATTTACTTCACAGTTTTATTGATTGGTTGATAGTCTCTAAGCATGTTCCAGAAATCATTGAAAAACACCATTGGCTTATACCGATTATGTGGTAAAAATTCTAGATCTATATTTTAAATAACATAGTTAAGATATTTATATTAAACAGGTAAAATTACCTAATTATACGTTAACTTACATTCAGAAAATGGCTCAGGGAGAGAACCTTTGGTCCAATTTGTTTGATCAGTTACTAAACAAATTGTAAGATTTGGATGCCAATGTGATATTATTTCAGTCTCAACTTTTTCAGCTTTCTAAGACATAAAATTATTAAATCAATTTAGCAAAATTTCTTTGCAATAATCGTTTTATTCTCTAGATTTTATTACACTATCTAATATAACAAAACCCATAACATTTTAAAAACAAAATTAACACAATAGACAAAAAATTGTTTAAATTAATTTCACTTACTTCAATTTGTTCTGGAGTGGCAGATGTTTCACCAGTAAGTAGGTTATGAGTTTTTAAGAATTTGACTTTTTTAAACTTATTTAATTGTTTGAAAGCATGAACAACATAAGGGTCATTTTTACTTATATTTGAATTTGTCTTTTTAATGAAGTATACGTGTAAATAAATTGATCCATTATTTTGCAAGTTCTAAAAACCAAAAAAGTTACAATTGTATAAAATAATCTACCAAGCAATGTGTGTCATGTGTCAGTTACCGTTGATGGAATGAAAGATTTTTGAATTGTATAAGTACCATCGTTATTAGGTCCTGAAGACCAGTCCCCATATTCTAAATCTGTTTTTTTCCAAACAAGTTCATTATCATCTATTACATTCTTAATACTGTCTTCAGATAAATACACATACATATCCTGAAAAATTATTAAATTTGTATAAGTTTGATATCTTATAAGTATTAAACATTTTTAAGTAAATAATAATCATAAAATACGTACAAATTTAGTACCATACTCGAAAAAATTGACATTTGGAATGGAATCAGCAACTGGAGTAACACCATCAGGGGGTACATTGGAGGACTTTTTAAACATTGATGTAATGAAGTAGATAATTAATGATCGAACAATTAATGTTTTCACAACTCCAAAGAACATGTTAAACCGTCCTTGTTGGGGCTGTGGTTGTTCGCCTTGCGCTGGTTCCACATTACCAGCCTAGAACAATACAATAAGTATTAGGTACATTTTACAAATCAACTTATATTAAATTGTTAATCATTAGTTATAAGAAATCATGGTACATTTTCAATTCAAAGGGAATAATAGCAAATGCCAAACACTAATATATTTTAAATAAAACTAATATTTTATAATAATATGCAAAAATGTGTTTATGCAAAATTTAAAAACTTTAAAAAAATTATTAAAAGAATATCACGAGGAATATCAGTACTTTATGTGACTTAACATGTGCACTATATTATAACACCTTGCGTTGTTAGCTAAAGTATTAGAGTTAGTTAACCTTGTACCATACATTGAGAATAGTATTTGTAGGTTGGCTCTTTTAAGATTTTATTTACAATTACTTATACTATCATATTATATTAGGCAGGTACTGGGTACTTAATAGTACTTGTAATGGGTATTATTTCATAAACTATTACTAGCTATTATTGAATTTAAAAGTCAACAGTAATTATCTCAGGAAATAATAGGTAATAGGTAGATACTAAAATACATAAAAACAAATAACAATTAACTAACCAAAATAGTTATTTTTTGTTTAAATATTTTTGTAAAAATTACAAACATCTAAAAAATATTAAATACCTAACAAAAAGAACTCTTTGAATTACTCTTTACCAATATCATGTTTAGATACCATTATAAATATTTAGTACACGATTAAATAAAGGAGGTTTTACCTACATTTTACATGATTGAAAATTTGATCACTTCTGCTGTAATTCATATTTTAAATTGTAGGTTATCAAGTTATATGATACATACTCAAGTCATATTTTAATATTTTATAGGTACTACTTAAACAATAATAATTTTAAAAAAAGCTACCTAGGTACCTATTGTCTATTATATGTGTTGATTTTTTATGATGAATGGCCATAATTCAATTGAATCAACATAGGTATTAGGATTAGAAATAAATATAACATTTCATTTCAATAAATCAGTTAAATTGAGTGAATTAGACATTCTCTAAGAAAATCATATTTTTTAACATGCCATATTTTATATATAAATCATTTTATCATATCAATTTAAATGTTATCAACATTTTTTTTGAACAATATTTTGTAGCCATGAGATAAAGATTTATTACATTTCAGTTTGTGGTCATAAAAATAATACATAAAGCAAAAACTTCATAATTTCGTTACCTGGCCCTAATTACTTGACCAAACCATTTATTTTTGCATTGCTTTAATTCAAGTAAAAAAAAAAAAACAAACAACAATACTTAACAATAGATTTGGATCACATCAATAGGTACCCCACACCCACGTATCAAAACGACATGCAGTTCATCGATGTGCCTAATGAGTACGAAAAATCAAGAAATCGCCGAAAAGGCGTTGGCCGCACGCGGTGCACCCAGCGACCGGCCAAAAGTTTGGTCCCGCTCGAAAAGCCGGATTTCCTAGCAAAAGCCGAAACCCAGGCGGCCTTTCGAACGGTGCCCGTCCACCAGAAACAAAATATTTTAACATTATCAGTCTCACCCCATCGCCCGGCGGCGCCTCGTTTCTCCTGGCCACTTCGGCCATGACGTGCGTCTCAGACGTTCGCTATGTCAATTGTGGACGGCCAACGGAACACCATCAACGGCGGCTGTCACTTGCCGCTTCCTGGCGGTACGGCGAATTATCACGTCTAGCAAGCAGGACGCGCACACGCGAGACGGCTTACTATCAGACGAAACGGAACGAAAAAAATACCGAAATCCAATAGTAGTGTACGCGCGTACGTGTGCGTGTGTGCGTGCTAAGTGTTCGGTGATCGGTCGGTAGTCGGTCGTGCGATTTATTTTTTATCCCCCTATCATATAATCGGGGCGACTACAATAACGAGTACGACGTGACCCGTACCGTAGATACCACATCCGGTATTACAGCGAGGGGGGTCTTTGGTTGATAAGAGCAACCCGGCAGGGCTGCAGAGTAACCAACCTAAACGCGGGCCCCAGGGCCCGTCGGATTGGCGGCACCGTTGCAACCGCAGTAGTCACGCCACCGTACCGCGTACGACTACGTAGTGGGTACGTAACTCGTTTTCGCAATTTCGTAACCCCGCCTCTGTCGCCGACGACGTACTGCGGTTCGATCTTAGACCATTTTTTTTTCCGTACATAATATTATAATTACATACAAAATTTATTGTTTTTTTTTATAACAATCGTTTCACACCTTTTCCGTTCCGATCTTCCACGGACTCCACGTCGTGCTGCATAACGCACCATAGATAAAGAAGTAGTATTACGCCCCCGCGAACTCACCGCAAGCCGTAGCAAGCAACACAATCCGTTTCGTGCACTCGGTGGCTCGGTCGCAGGTCGCAGGTCGCAACTCGCCACCAATAACGCTCCACAAGTACCGACACTCGTCCCGAAGTCGCGTTAACGTGCGCGTTGTCCGTCCCCGTTTTTGTGTGTGCGCGCGCGCGCCCCCTACGATCCACGTCAATCAGACGCTGTCCCGTCGCCGTCGTGAGTGCTCTTCTCATTCCCATTTCGCCTTCCGTCCGACCTGTTCGAACTTCGAATATCGCAACATTGCGCCGTCCCGCGACAGCAGCGATACAGCCGACGACACGGTTCCCGCGACAGGAACGCGACGTGTCTGGGGACTTGTCAAAGACACCGATGTGAGTTCACCCAAACCGATTTAATCGCCCGTATCGATCATTGATCGACGGCGACTTTGACGTGTACAAGTGCGCGCATCGATCCCGACGATAAATCGATCGTCGATCGATCTATCCGCAGGAGTCGATGTTCGCGACTACCGCTCGTCCATTTGAAATAATATTACGTAACGTGGGGGGCCGGTATTTTCACGCGGGTTTTCCGGCCGTAGTGTTGTAATACGTGTACCATTTTGTTTTGTGTTCCAGCTTTGGCCAAGTCGAAGGAAGCGAACGACATTCGCTAATCATTTCACCGTCAGTCCCGCGTCCCAGAAGGGCGACACCATTTATATGAAGTTTTTCGACACTGGTAAGCGGACGACGCGCGACACTCACGTGTCATTGCTTATTAATAGTCGTGATTTATTCATTAGTGATTGCCCCCGAGTTATGATGTATTGCAAATTCGCCCGCCTGTTAAATTCTTGCCATTATCTACTACGTGTCACAAGAATTTCGCCGATAATAACCTTGAATTCCCGTGTGACCAACGTGTTCTATAAATACGGACTATAGAGGTCAAATTGCGAATTATTGCTTGGCGGCAGCGACCATATGTTTCACGCGTTCTTTCCCCAAAAAATTCGTCTGGACCTTTTTCCTCTCCGACTAGACATTAATTTTCCAATATTTACTGGCGCAGTCGCTGATTCGAATACTCGTTTGAAATTTATGAGGTTAACTTTCAACCAATTTGAATGCAGTTCGTCTTGGACACATTTCACTCTTTCTTAATGATCGTACCTAATATTGTCCCATGTACGTAAAACCTCCCAGTATTGACTAATTATTTGTATTCAAATTAAAATATTAAAGCCTATCAGTTAACATTTAATTTAATATTATTCTCTCTGTTGGTAGGTATAAAGCAGGTAGGTTACTTAGTACTAATTCCTAGACTAATTCTCTAATATAAGTTCCATTTTGGTGTACCTGTTTTTTTTTATAGTAATTTTAATAAAATACCTTTGATAGCTACCTACTTGATGCAATTACAATATTTTCATTTAAATTGTTCTACCCACTCTGTATTAATTATATATTTTGTTTTTGTAGATTATAATAATAAAAACTAGCTTTTTACTGTGACTTTCCTACTACTTGTATAGGTGCCTATTTTATTATTTAAGGATTTGTCATTAATTACCTAGCAAACAGACAACGTAAATATATTTCTGGAACCATATACAGCTGAACAATCACAGATAATTACTTTGTTATTTACAAAATAGCATGATATCTATATAGTATCTACCTTCTTAATCCACTTCAAATAATGTAACTATTAGGTTTATTATTATTAAATATTTAAATTTTGATTTAGTTATTAGGAGATAGGTAGGTAGTTCTATATTTATTCATCTTTTCTATGGATTAATTATAGGTAGGTACAGTTGCAATTTTAGCCATTATATTTATTAGGTCATAGGTTATATTATTACTGATTTGATAGCTTATTTAAAAATTGAGTAGATAGCCTGAATAAATAATTATCTTTCTTTTTATAATAAAGAATATTCTAACACAAGACAATTGTTTGATGTTAATTAAGAAATGTATTTGCTTTGTACTATGAAAATATATGAATATAAAATATAAATACCTATGTATATCAAATAAAACAACAAAAGTTTGATCATTTGTATACCATACATACAAACTATTCCAATGGGTTTTTAATGGTCACTATTACTTTAGAGTAAAAAATTAAATTTAATTGAGTCCATAGTGTTTAATTATTCTAGTTGTGTGTGCTTCTTAAAATTAAAATATATTTTTTTGTATTAGAATGGTAATACTTAAATTTTTAAACAATATAGTATGACATCTATTTTATCTATTCACTTAATCAAATTCGAGTAAAAAGTTTGACAACATTTTAATAATTTTTACTTAAGTATTCAATTTTGTTTTACTACTAGGTATATTATGACGGTTTTCTTGAGAATTGAATTAACTAATGAGTTGCAAAAGAAGTTATAAATCTTAACGATTCATATTTTTTGCATAATATGTGGTAAGATCCATCAATTATGATTTTTAATTTGTAAATTATCCATATGGCCATTTCATACTAATATTTAAATGAATAATTTATGTTAGGTTTTATACATTTTAAGTATAGGTAAATCTCATTGATTATAAACTAATGATTTTTCATAGATCAAATCATTCAATCCCGAGGTTATTATTTAAATATAAGCCACTGTGGTATCTCAAATATTCTGATTAAAATGTACATATGGTTTTATTTTTCATTTATACCTGTTATAAATGCAAGAATTCTTTTTTTGGCTGAGCGCCTTTGTTTTTCATAGATTTTTAATAAATGTGTTAACAAAGTTTAATATTAGTAGGTATATACAATTTACAAATTAACAATAACCTTTTTAACTTTATTTTTGAAAAATAATTACCCACGTGTTTCTAGTTAGTAGATCTGATCACGCTATATAAATAAATGATATGCATTTATAGTTCAGATAACAAATCAAATACCAAATAATATTTTGTTTTAAGATATACCAATATAATGTATAATTACTCAATTCCTATGTCTTATATAAATTGTACAGCTCTAATAGTTATATAATTATTTGATTCTTATGAAAAATTGCCTTATCTCGACAATTATTGCCGTGTCAATGTTACATATTTATACTATCTAAAATTACTATGGATATTTTCCCATGATTTAAAATATTAAAATATATAATCAGTTTAATATGTTATACATTTATAATGTACCTATATCTGTATAAGTTTTCTAAAATAAAACATTTATAGTTGCTGTTACATAGGTATATTTGTACATATTACAATTAATAATACTTTAAGTAAACCCCTAGCCATGTAGTTCATGCTTAATTTCAAATATGTGACTAGTATGATTATTCAACTTCAATGAATAAATACTTAATAAGTAATGCTTACATGATTGTCGTGATTGTAATTGATATTGAGTGGTCTGCTATAATAGAAATAAAATACAGTCATTTTTATATCTTCATATCATTCATTATTAAATAATGATTTAATTTTTCTATTCCTAACTCCTTTACTTGACGTTAGTGGATATAAGTTAAAGTATATGTACATAATAATACCATTACTTTTGAATATAAACAAGCACCAAACATACCAATTATTAAGTTCAATACATTATTTATAACAGATTAACAGTTATTACTTATTTGTTTTTAAAAGTCTGTCTATACTTCTTTCACATCTACTAATGTTACAATGTGGTGCATCTCTTTTTACTCATTGAAGGGTCCTATATAAATTTAAAACATAAATATAATCACATATATAATTTTTATTTTGCAAAAATGCAATAAAGGTTAAAAAATAATATTGTAAGTTTTTAACAATTATTATTTAGTTAAAAATAAATGTGTTCAGAATAATTTAGTGCCTATACATTTAATTTAACGTCAAATTGCCTAAATTTGAAAAAAATAAGTAATACCTCATAAAAAATAAGATAAATAAAGATACATAGTTTTGGATATTTTTGGATTATTTGCCGCTATACGAGTTTTACTACTATAGTTTGGAGCCAGGATTCTTGCAGTAAAGTTTTCAGCATTGTATTAATATTAGTTTTTTATAATACAACTACTTATAATTACTTTTGTTGATGAACTTGCTTGTTATTTAATGGATTCTTGATATTATTTTTTATCAATAAATAGGTAATTTTAAATTTTATATAAGTTAAAAACACAATATTTCAATAGTTGTAAAAATATGCTTTAATAGCAATGGTCAATATGTTATTCAAATAAACTACAAAACAATTATTCAAGAAATTAAAATAGCATATGTACTGGGTGCATACACTAGATAGTTATGGGAA